ATGCGGTGGAAGCGCGGACTCTTAAATCACTGGACCATCAGGGAAGTCCCGAAAACAAATCAAATCATAAGACATTTTTTCTCACATATGTATCCGTCCACACACTTCTTCCAGGCTGTCCCTTCCTTTCCCTTCTGTTCCTCCTCCGTTTATCTGCGGTGGGTCTGTAAAATCGGGTTCTCTACGTTTTTTGTGTCAAAAGAGGCTCATCACATTCACAGTCACGCTGTGCCCCACCTCCACCCTCCCACGCGTCGCGTGCACACATTTTCTTCTTTGCCGTGATAATTATCATTTCCCTCAAGTACCTGTGATGGCGTTTTGCTGGTTGTCCCCTGGAAGGGATGCCTTTCCCTAGTTGGCACAAAGGTCTTGCCTTTGCTCAGTCTTCTCCGGGAGGAGAGCCACCACACCAACACAGAGAAGTTCCAGGGGCCTCTTGGGTTTGTGGGCATTCATATTTGGTAATTCATTGCTATCATTTGCTCCGTGAGTACCTGCTTCAGCCACTTCTTATCCTCTGAGTAGTTCACTTCAGGCTGGCCCTTTAAGGAGGCCTGAACACTGAAGTTTTTTTCTCTGGCTTCCTGACTTTTGGTTGTGAATCCTATAACTATAAATTGATTTATAAAGTCTATAAGTTGGTGCTGTTTTCTACCTTTCCACGTGCCAGTCTATAGCAGTGGTCTTTCTCCTAAATGACTTTTGAAAGGCAATTCATTGCATATATTAAGTTCATATTTAAAAGTTTTTATCACAAGTAGATTTTACAAGAACTAAGATGAGGGTAAGAGCTGTAATGTGTAAGGAATATGTTTTCCTTCTGCCCAGTGGGAGAAGGCTTATCATGAAAGAAGGCTTATTTTTAGGAAAAAATGTATATGAAAGTTGAAGACCTGGAAATTGATTTCTTTAAAATGATTCATTTCTTACAAAAGTCTTCACATATTCTCAGTTTGAAGACTGCAGCTAACAGTGAAACAACCTGCCCCTGAAATGGACTTTCCAGTTGTTGGCTTTGATGCTCTACAATCGCTTAGAGGCTACCATTTTTCCTCCTCCAATGCTTGGTTTCTTCATTGGTCAGGATAGGCTAGATGGGGTGGTGGTACAAATTAGCCTACAATCTCAGTGGCTTAATACAGTAAAACATCTTTCTTGCACATATAGCTACACTATTTGAAAATTGTAGCTTCCAAGGTCACTGTGGCAGGAGTATAGAAGCCTGGAGGATTTTGTGGGATGTTTTTAAGGATCAGGGCTGGAATTAGCTTACGTTTCATTGGCCAGGCCCCCGGCATTTGGGCCCAACCTAATTGCAAGAGAAGCTGGGAAATGTAGAAGAGCAGAGGGATTTGGGATTAGCACTGATTTGTACTTCGGTTGTAGCATGCTTTACCTATCATTGAAAAACCCTTTATCTGGTCTTTTTCCACTGTTCTTCCTGTAGATTTCTCAAGTTTTCATTAAAATAGTAGCATCCAACAGTTTAAAAACCTGTTTGATTGCAAATCCCATAGTAATAGCCAAGTCCTTGCAAGAGAAGGGCAATTCTCAAGAAACTGAGTGTCAATGGAAGGTGAATTATAAATTATTATAAGTTGCTATCCATCTAGCTCTTGTTCTCTGGTGGTCTCTAAATGGTGTAATTGCCTCGTAACTTTGGCATCACTTCCACAGTACCTTTTTACAACTCAAAATTTTTAGGTTCCCTGGAATGTTTTCCAGTGGATTCTAATTTTCCGAGTACTCTAAACTCCTAAAATTACCTGCCAAATTATACTATTAGGAACAGAGCTTCTTTCAAGACTTTTAACCTGTGCTAGAAAGAAAATATCCTGCTAACTATTCTAAATAAAGCTTTGAAGAGATATCCATCTACTGTCTCACTCCTAAGTTCTGGTAGTTAAGTTCTCTGTAAAATATCAAATTAAGAAATCATTTCGGTGTATATCACATGTTGTATTTCATAGTGGTATTCGATCAGTTTGTTTTATGACGACTTTTTTTTTTTTTTTAATGTCTCAGTAGTTGACTAGTACAGTGGGGGAGGGATGCCATGATTACTGTCATACAGATGAGCCACTTGTGTGGGCATCTGTCAATTATATCTACTCTGGTGCTGCTGAAGTTTCTTTGTGTCATGGAAACCTTAGGGCCAAATACCAGGGGAGTTCCTAGAAGCAGCTCTGGCAAGCATAGATTTGATGGCAACTTCATTATAGTTATACTGCTTTGCATGGTTACTCAGCTGTGATCATCATAATGGCTTTCCATCCTAGAGGCCAAATAAGTTAGAGCAATATACAAGCTGCTCAATGTATCTTAACAAATTACGTTATAATAGATGCTCTTTTCAACTGCTTTTTCCCCCCCGTAATCAGCCTATTCTGGTCTTTCACAAACAGGCAAAATATGGCTATAGATATCTTTTTAAAGTATAGAGTATTGAGAATCATATATGTTATTTTCTGTTCTTTGAAATAATCATGAGTCATGTGTTTTTCTCTTGTTTTCAAATCTGGATTATCTACTTTAATAGGTATTGTGACTGTATAATACAATGATGAGGATGATGATAACAACAATTGTTGATTTTTAGTGAGCATTTACCATGTTCCAGGAAGTGTACTATGCACTTTCCATATAACATTTCATTTAATCCTTGCAAACTCTATGATATAGGTGTTTCAAATGAGGAAACTGAAGCTCAGAGAAGTGAAGTTACCTTGGTCAAGGTCACTAGGGTAGTAAGTAGTGAAGCAGAGAATTAAATTCAGTCAGTCTCCAGGGTTTATGCTCTTAACTGTTTAAAACTCATTAATTGATTTTGACTTAAATGTGCTCTAGAAGTCCTTTCTGGTTATCTTCTCAGAAAATAAAAGTAAAATTCTATTGCCTGATGTTAAATTAATTCATTTGAAAAGTTTTGTGTCATTAAACAAAATTTATTATGGTTGTGAGTTGATATTGGTAGAGAAATATAGACTTCTCTTTATAGATTTATAATGAAGTGAGATTTATGGGTTGAAGAGACCTCTAAATATATTTCCTGCATCATTTGAAATAAAACAAGGGCCCCAAAAGAGATGAGTACATAAGACCAGTAGTTTTGGAGTCTTATGTAACATAAAGAATTACTTGTCCATTCATTCCTAATGTTGTCAAAATATCTTCTCACATTTGAGGTCTTTTTCTATGTTTTATTTTCTCTAAAATATCTTGTTTTCTCTCTCATTTTGTTCTTTATGTTTTCACTTTTTCATTTTTTTTTTTTTTGCTGATTATACACTTAATCACAATTAAGCAAAATTACAGAAATAAATAACTTAGCTAGTGAAAGTTCTCCATAAATTCTTACCCCAGGATTTAACCACCAGTAGAATTTTATGAATGCTCCTAGAAATACCAACATGTATTATTAATGTTATTATGTATCTTTACAAATATAGGATCATATTATACATTCTATTCTACAACTTGATTTATTTTTTAACTTAGGAATATATCTTGGTGAACTTTACATGTCAGGGTATGTAAATGTCTCATTTTTCTTAACATTGGTATGGTATTTTTTTATATGGATGTGCAGGTGCTTATTTAACATTTCACCTGTTGGTGGATTTTTGCACTGTTTCGAATATTTTGCTTCAGTATTAAAAACAATGAGGCAGGGGAAGGGGTAGTTAGGGAGTTTGGGATTGACATGTACACACTGTAATATTTAAAATGGGTAACCAACAAGGACCTACTGTATAGCACAGGGAACTCTGCTCAATATTATGTAACAACCTAAATGGGAAAAGAATATGAAAAAGAATAGATACATGTATATGTGTAACTCAGTCGCTTTGCTGTACACCTGAAACTATCACAACATTGTTAATCAGCTATACTCCAATATAAGATTAAAAGTTAAAAAAAATAAAAGCAGTGAGGCAATTCACAATAGAAGATGTATGAATGGCCTATTATTACATGAAAAGATTTTCAACAGCATTAGTCAACAGGGAAATGCCAGTTAAAACCACAGAGAAACATCATATACCCATTAGAATGGCTAACCTTTAAAAGATGAACAATACCTAGTGTTGTGAGGATGTGGAGTTTCTAGAACGCGCGCTGTTGTACAAACACTTTGGAAGTCTGTTTGGCAGTTTCTTAGAAAGTTAAGCATAAACTTACCATATTACCCAGCCATTCCACTAGGTATTTACTCAAGAAAAATGAAAACGTGTCCACACACGGACTTGTACACAAATGTTCATAGTAGCTTGATCCACTGTAACCTAAAACTGGAACCAACCCAGTGTCCATCAGCAGCTGAATGGATAAACAAATGTGGTATATCCATAGAGTAGGATACTACTCATAGAAATGCAACAACATGGATGAGTCTCAGTATCATAATGCTGAATGAAAGAAGCCAGACAGGGTACATAGTGTATGATTTCATTTGTATAAAATTCTAGGAAATGCAAACTAAAATGACAGAAAGCAGATCAATGGTTGCCTGAGGTTGGGGATGGAGGGAGAGGTAGTTTGCAAAGGGCAGGAGAAAACTTTCAGGTAATGGAAAGTTCTGTTTCTCAATTCTGGGTTTGGACAAATGTGTAATGACATGTATCCATCATTACAGTATCGTACGGAGTATTTTCAGTGTCCTAAAAACCCTCTGTGCTCAGCCTATGCACCCCCTCCCCCCATTTTTAAATTTTTCATTAGTTTGTCCCACTTTTAAATTTTTCATTAGACAAACTATCTTAAGTGTAGCTTTGGACTTTATTAAATCGGGAATAATCTGGTATTAGAGGCTTTAATTTTTACAGATTGATTTAGTTGGACTGGGTCAAGGTTTCTGTGTTATATATAAAGCAGAAATGTGAAGGAAAATTTATTTATTTATTTGGTAGTAATAGATATTACTAAGAATATGAAGAATTCTGCATTATTCCTTCCGACAATTAGTAATCAACTTAAGTATTTTCTGTCTTTGCCAGATACTGACAATATGAAGCCATTGGAGGGTGTAAGAATTCTGGATCTAACAAGGTTTGCATTGGTTTATCTGTGTTTTGGTGATTGAGTTTCCCCCCTTCTTTAAAAAGGCATTTATTTCTTGGATTATAAGAAGGTGTTCATAAGCTTATCATTGAAATTTTGGAAAGAAAAACCAAGAAAATTTCCTGTAATTTCATCATTCTATGAGACAATTAGTATAATACTTATACATTTATTTCCAATCTGCATATTTATATGTAACTTTTGAAAATAAAAATTGGAACCATATTGAAATTACAGGTTTATCCACATTTTAAACATACTGTTATATTTTCAGTATTTTCTCATGTCATTCGAAATTCAACAAAAAATATAAGATATTTTATTATAGTATATAGTTGTCACATAATTACCTAGTCATCCTCCAGTGTTTTTATATTATAAATGAGACTTCCTTGTACATAAATCTTTGCCTCAGGAAATCTTTCAGTTTCTTCCTTAGGATAGAATTCTGAAAGTAGAATTACTGCATCAAAGGGAATATACTTTTTAAAGCTCTTGATACATATGGCCAAATCAATTTTTTGAACAGTTTTAACAATTTTAATTCTTACTCACATTATATGAGCTTGTCTGTGTTGATGGAGTATTAAGAAAAGAATTAATATAAAAATCTTAAAGATGGTAATGAATTTATCTATCATTGTTAACATTGTAGAGTACTGGCGGGACCTTTTGCTACTATGAATTTAGGAGATCTTGGAGCAGAAGTTATAAAAGTGGAAAGACCAGGTAAAACTACTTCTCTCTTTAAAACATAGAAACAAGCTAATACATATTTTTAATAGTTCTTTAAATGTCCATGTACCTGTATGTGGGATGAGGAGAGAATTGAAATGAAGCGATTATTTTCCCTTCTCCTTTATTTTCCTCTGAACCTATAGTAATATTAGATCTCTTTCTACTCTTTATACGTGCCAAGGGCTAAGGCCTAAGCCAGGTCCTTCACATGCACCTGGAAGCCTCTGGTAGAAACTGACGTGCAACACGTAAATAATGATGATGCTAACAACGGTTAGTGCCAGGCACAATTCTAAGCACTTTGCCTGTATTAATTTATTCAGTCTTTACAACAGCCTGTGAGCTGTTATTATTCCTAGATTATAAATAAGAAGACAGAGACACAGAGAGGTCAAGGGATTTGTCCACGGTCACACAGCTAGTAAGGAATATCCAGACACTCAGCTCTGATCCTGGCCCTTCTGAGCCCCACACAAGCCTTGCTGCTGAGACCGAGGTTAGAGTGGGCCTGGCCACCTTCCCTCACTGGGGGACAAAGGGAAGGCAAGAAATTAGCATTATTATTTATTCTTCAAGATCTGTTGCTTATGGATCTGGAACAGAATTCCCAAATTAGTGAAAATGGTCTAGCCTTGAATAGTGTGCATGTATCTATAAGACCCATAAGAAACTAGTTTATAATTACATCAACATATTAATTTACCATAAGTGATTAAACGCTATAAAGTAGAACGCATGATCTAGAAGATTCAACTTTCTGCTACATAGATCTTCTTAAGAGGCCAAAGCAGTTAGCAGAAGTTCCTCTGATCAGCATGGGGAATGTTATATATTTTATATTTATCTGGCCCTGTGCTTGTCAGGCTCCAGGTGATAGAAGAGCCTGGTGAATCCTGCTTTCCAGAGATAATGCTTCATTTATCCAGTCAGTGATATTTATCACTTTTGGTCATTGCTGGATACATGCTGAATAATGTTTACTTTCTAGCTGAACATCTTTTTTTTTTCTGTTACAGGTACCACAAAACTTCTAATTTTCACATTGCTCTCCAGTTTTAATACCATATACTTTCTAATTTCAAGCATTGGGTCTTCCATTTCTAGATAGAATAGCCAATATGATTTCTGTTGCTATTTCATTTGATCACTAGGTTAAATATTTGTACAGTTTGCCCTTCGTATCCACGGGTTCTGCATTTATGGATTTAGCCAGCCACAGATTGGGTACTTTTATGATCTGCGATTGGTTGAATCTGCGGATGCTGTACTGGTGGATATGGAGGGCCAATTATGGGACTTGAACATCTGCCAATTTTGGTGTCCTCAGTGGGTGCTGGAAGCAGTCCCTCATGAATACTGAGGGAATGACTTTATTTTTATTAATTTTAGAAATCACTAATCCCTGTTTGCTTAGTCCTGTTTTTCCTTTGTACTTTTTCATTTCCACACTGGGGGACCCTTTCCTTAGTCTAGGCCTTTATTATGTCCCATAGCCATACACTAGGCATCAAGCTTTGTTCCTAGCAGATGTTCATTGCTCTTTTTCTTACTAATTGGTCTCTCTCCTTTAACCCTTTTGCTCAGTACGTTTTAATGTTCATATTATATATTTTGTTTTTTCGAGATAGTTATTCAACAGATATGAAGAAAAGTCCCTTGGCAGTATTTTCACATTTCAGTCTCTTTTAGTGTCCACTTCCTCAGTTCTTAAATTAAATTTCGTTGTAGTTTTCTGACTTGGGACTTAGATTATTCTTATTTGAGTAATCAAAGAGCGTATCAAGCTTAAGTATATTTTTTTCTTCTCATTTTAGAGTCTTTCGGTGGGTGTAAACGCTATGCCTGCAGGGCCAGGCAGGTAACCTAAATGAATGAAGTGGGCTGGGCAGCCAATGATGCTGCTGTTATTCCAGGGTTGTCACCAGGAGGCAGGCATACCTGGGCAGAGATGTTGATCTTTGTTCACTGCTGTGTCTGCTCTGCAGAGAGCAGTGTTTGTGACATAGTAGGCACCCAATAACTATTTGCTGAATGGATGAATGTGTTGAAATATCATATAAGAAAGGCAGTCTGAATTTTTATGTACTGTCTCTAGATTTTGAAATCATGGCAGATATTTAAAAACTTTAAGTTGTGTGTGGGTCAAATAAAACATGCCTCTCAAATTGCCAGTTTTACCAGTTTGTGACCTTTAACCCTTATTTCATTTCATGGGCCGTCAGTCAGCACATATCCTATCCTTCCGCGTCTCTTAAACCCAGGTTATGCACCAGGACCAGGTGGGGCAGGAAAGCCATGTAGGCCTCCAGTTTAGATTTCTGACATTATTTCCACCCAAGAGATGAATGTAAACATTTAAAATAAGCTCTCTACTTTTAGCCTTATCTTGACATTGCTCTCTTAAAAACAAATTTTTTTTTTTTTAATTTAATGTATTGAGACCTTCAAAAAAATGGAAGTGGCTGGACTCTCTCCAGCCTCTGGGAGGTCCTATCTGATCTTGAAGATCCAGATTCACACATACATTTTTCCGTGAAGCCTATAACCGGTTTATTACTAGGAGATTGTCTTTGTGGACTCTTGTAGTTTATTTTTTCCCCTGACGTTTTGAGCATGCTGTTCAGTTTGATACTTACTATTTATTGCTTTGTGTTGTTTATCAGTTCATCCCCAGTTAGAACTAATGCTTCTTTTCTCCTCTGTCCTGTGTTCTCGCTTTCTCTTGTGAGGTTTTTAGTTTTTTGTTTTTAGTAAAGGAGTCTATTCTTTAGCTTCTGTTTTGTTTTCTAAAAGGCTGTGACTGTTTTTTTTTTATCAGTTTCAGTGGGTAAAGTCTAATGGGCTAATAAATTAATTATATCATTTAAATGAGATTAGAATTTAAACTTTAACCCATATTCACAAATTCTCTCTTATTGAGGGCTAGTAATACTTAGGTAGTGATTAGTTTCTAATATCAATATTTAATCAGAACTTATAAAAATCTTAATTTAAGTGATACTAATTTGTGCCTATTAATTGTTGATTCACTTTCTGAGCTCCATCTACATTGTTTGCTTTTTGTGCAAAGAAAACTCTTTTTCTGTAACTCGATAGTGTTATCTTTGAATCAAACACAAGTACTTTTCAGAATCATTTGAAGTAGATGTTTAGAATAAAATACCCTATTTTTGATGTTTTTGAACTTTTACTTTGAAGCAAGACCTAGACTACTAAAATTTTATTCTAAATAGCATCTTAAATTACTGACATTTGCTATTCAGTAGCTTATTTTGCTTTTTCTGATTTATTGCTACAGAATTTAAAAAATAGATTTATTTATCATTGTTTTATACCTAGCCTCAGATACCACTTTATCATAAAGACTTACTTATCATTATCCTGATTTAAATTATATTTAACAAAAATATTGTGTAGACCCCACATTTTGTTTGCACATTTAATGCTAAAAACACTGAAAGAGCTGACTTGTTTGTTGAAGTAGGAGAGTAATTTTTTTCCCCCTCAGACTTGCCATTTATTAAATCTAAAGACTGCCAGTAGGATATTCCCTTCTGGATTCTGACTTTCAGGGATGGATTTTAGTGAAAGAAGCTATGGGAGGATTTAGTGATTTACATGAACAGGTAAAGAGTTTGGGCAGTTCTAACAAGGTCCCAAGACCACTTTAGGTTGCTAATTCCGCTGATCTTGTTTAGGCATCTGTGAACTTACATATGAGTAAGCCTGTTGATTTGAAATGTCTCATGATGTTTCAAGGTTAAATAGTTCATACTATTATTTTCAGGAGCTGGTGATGATACACGAACTTGGGGTCCACCTTTTGTGGGGACAGAAAGTACTTATTTTCTCAGTGTTAACCGAAATAAAAAAGTAAGAATATTATCCCCTTTTTGCTTTCTTTGTGTAATTCTCTCTTTTTTTAAAAAAAAATAATTAATTAATTTATTTTTGGCTGCCTTGGGTCTTCGTTGCTGCACGCGGGCTTTCTCTAGTTGCGGTGAGCGGGGGCTACTCTTCGTTGCAGTGCGCGGGCTTCTCATTGCGGCGGCTTCTCTTGTTGTGGAGCATGGGCTCTAGGCGCACGGGCTCAGTAGTTGTGACTCAGGGGCTTAGTTGCTCCACAGCATGTGGGATCTTCCCGGACCAGGGCTTGAACCCGTGTCCCCTGCATTGGCAGGCAGATTGTTAACCACTGCACCACCAGGGAAGCCCTGTGTAATTCTCCTGTAATAACAAAACTTTTGATATCATTGTGGCTTGTTTATTTCTGCCCCTTTTGGTAGATATTTTGTAATATTCCCAATAAGGTGAAATTTTATTTTATTTTATTCATTCACCAGTTACCAAGTAGAAACAGTAGAGCTTTTTATTAATTTTCCTTCTCTACTAACTTAAAACATTTTTTGAGAATTTATAATGTTTTTTTTGTTTGTTTGTTTTTTTTCCGGTACGCGGGCCTCTCACTGCTGTGGCCTCTCCCGTTGCGGAGCACAGGCTCTGGACGCGCAGGCTCAGTGGCCATGGCTCACGGGCCCAGCCGCTCCGCAGCATGTGGGATCTTCCCGGACCGGGGCACGAGCCCGTGTCCCCTGCATCGGCAGGCAGACTCCCAAGCACTGCGCCACCAGGGAAGCCCTATAATGGTTTTTAATGGAACTAATTTTATTAAAGTGAGGAATCACTTGATTTGTTACATTTGTTATTCTTTTGGAGATTGCTAATTGCCTACATTTGGTATTATTATTTGAAGAATTTTTACTATAATCCTTACTATCATCCTAACATATCCGAATTGAAAATAAAATCAGTAAAAATTATTTAAATGTTTCTTCATGAGGAAAATGCATTTACTTTAAGAGGAGAAATCTGTATATGAATGGCTCTCTTATTGAACTGTGAGCAATAAGAAAAATTTTTAAGATACTATTTTAATATATATATTTTTAATTTTTAGAGTATAGCTGTTAATATCAAGGATCCAAAAGGGGTGAAAATCATCAAAGAGGTACAGTATGCTCTATAGAAGGCATCTTGTCACCTGGGTTGTAATTAGGGATTTGAATATGAGTAAAAATATTTTAAAACATTATTTCATTGGCAATCTGAAATTTTGCTGTAAGTGCCATTTGAGTTTAACTTCGTTTTTATACTAAGTATAATTTGCTTTATAATTTCTGGTATATTGTGTTTAACATTTCTCCATCGTGTCAGAGTGTTCAGTTATGGCACTAGTGTCCATTGACTGAGTGCCTGCCCTGCATCAGATCTTAGGCCTGGGTACTTTATTCGTATTATCTTCTCAAATCTTCAGAATTTTCCTTGTAAATGAAGTATTATATCCTCATTTTCACAAGAGGTGAAATGAGTCTCAAGGGGCTTGAGTGATTGTCTAAAGATCACATAGCTAGTAAAGGGAGGAGCTGAAGTTTGAACCCTAGGTCTACATCACTGTAGAGCCCAAGGTTTTTCTAACACTTATTCAGATGGCTGATGTGTGCAGACCTGATCTTGGCATCTTTCCTTGAGGGGCCAGCACAATGGTTAGGGGAATACCCCAGTGTTCTACGGCTGGGATTCAAATTCTGCCTTCTTTACTTACTAGCCATGTGACTTCAGGCAGGTTACTTAACTTCTTTATGCCTCAGTTCCCTTATTAGCAAAATGGGGACAGTAATAATACCTACTTCTTAGGGTTGTTAGAATTGAGTTAATATTGTGTAAAATGTGAAGAAGGGTGCCTGCCATAGTCATAGTCAGCACTCATTCAGCATTGACTATTATTATTGTTCCCGGTGCACATGAAGGTGGATTCATCACGTGAGATAAAACTTGTTTGCCATTCTTGTTAAAGTTTGAAGTCTAGGGCTTCCCTGGTGGCGCTGTGGTTAAGAATCCATCTGCCAGGGCAGGGGACACAGGTTTGAGCCCTGGCCCAGGAGGATCCCACATGCCGCGGAGCTGCTGGGCCCGTGCGCCACAACTACTGAGCCTGCGCTTAGAGCCCGCGCTCCGCAGCAGGGGAGGCCACTGCCATGAGAGGCCCGTGCCCCTGCTCACCGCAACTGGAAGGAGCCCGTGCGCAGTGGCGAAGACCCAACACAGCCATAAATAAATAAATTAATTAAATAAAAAAAAAAAGTTTGAAGTCAAATGTAATGGATGTAAATCTCCTTGATTAGAGAACCAAATCCCCAAATTTGTTTTATATCAAAGTATCAATTTTAGCTTCATTGCTCTGATGCTTCTTTCCTTATCATCTGGCTGATTGAAAAATAACGTCTTCTAATTATTAAGATCAGAATCAGTGATCATCCGCTCTGGTTCTGTTGGAGCAATCCAACAAATTTAGAATTTTACTAGATATATGTTGAACCCAAAGCTTGATAATTGTCCTGATCTCACTGTCCTGTTTTCCTACATCTTTTCTATAGCATAACTTAGGTTTGTTTGCTTGTTTTTATTTTATTTTTCAGTTGCAACTTAATATGATTTTTCTAAATTGTTCTTTGTTATTATTGCCTTGCCTTGTTTTTTTTTTAAATAAATTTATTTATTTTATTTTTTCATTTTTGGCTGCATTGGGTCTTCATTTCTGCGTCCGGGCTTTCTCTAGTTGCGGCAGGCGGGGGCTACTCTTCGTTGTGGTGTGTGGGCTTCTCATTGCAGTGGCTTCTCTTGTTGCGGAGCACCAGCTCTGGGCACGCAGGCTTCAGTAGTTGTGGCGTGTGGGCTCAGTTATGGCTCGCAGGCTCTAGAGCGCAGGCTCAGTAGTTGTGGCACACGGGCTTAGCTGTTCCGCGGCATGTGGGATCTTCCCAGACCAGGGCTCGAACACGTGTCCCCTGCATTGGCAGGCAGATTCTCAACCACTGTGCCACCAAGGAAGCCCACCCTGCCTTGTTTGTCTATGGCAGCGACCCTCATCTTGGACTCAACTCCCATTGTCTTCATTCTCAGGCCCTTCTTTTTTTTTTTTTTTTTTACATCTTTATTGGAGTATAATTGCTTTACAATGGTGTGTTAGTTTCTGCTTTATAACAAAGTGAATCAGTCATACACATACATATGTTCCCATATATCTTCCCTCTTGCGTCTCCCTCCCTCCCACCCTCCCTATCCCACCCCTCTAGGTGGTCACAAAGCACCGAGCTGATCCCCCTGTGCTACGCGGCTGCTTCCCACTAGCTATCTATTTTACATTTGGTAGTGTATATATGTCCATGCCACTCTCTCACTTTGTCACAGCTTACCCTTCCCCCTCCCCATATCCTCAAGTCCATTCTCTAGTAGGTCTGTGTCTTTATTCCTGTCTTACCCCTAGGTTCTTCATGACATTTTTTTTTCTTAAATTCCATATATGTATGTTAGTATACGGTATTTGTCTTTCTCTTTCTGACTTACTTCACTCTGTATGACAGACTCTAGGTCCATCCACCTCATTACAAATAGCTCAATTTCGTTTCTTTTTATGGCTGAGTAATATTCCATTGTATATATGTGCCACATCTTCTTTATCCATTCATCTGTTGATGGACACTTAGGTTGCTTCCATGTCCTGGCTATTGTAAATAGAGCTGCAGTGAACATTTTGGTACGTGACTCTTTTTGAATTATGGTTTTCTCAGGGTGTATGCCCAGTAGTGTCAGGCCCTTCTTTTTATCTTTTCAGTAGTTGTTATGCTGCTGCTGCTGATGATGGTGATGATGATGAATCATCTAGGAGATTGTGCTTAATTCTTCTCTTTCTGGTTTATGTTTCTCAGTTCCACCTTCAATGTTCACAGTTCCTGCTTATTTGCTTCCATTTCAGAACATTTTGATATTTTATCCTGAATAGTGAAGGTTTTAGATTTGATTTAACAAATACTTTACAAGTTCATTAGGGTTTTTCAATGGGGCAGTGTTAGGTGGAATTCATAACTCTTGCTCCTAAGATATCAGTGTACATTGGAGTATTTTAGGCCTACATGTATAATTCTAACCAAAAGAAATGAATTTGCTGGGACATCTTTCTCATTCTCTTCAGATCCTGCCTGTGTCCTCCACCAGATTGTAACAATTTTAAATTGTTTCATTATGGGCATGGTTTCTCTTCATGTCTGATAATGATAAAGTACATTTCAACTCATATTAAACTTTAATAGATTGTCTGCAGTCATTTTGCATATCTTTTGCTTTCAGCTAGTTATACAGTTCATAAGTTACATATCTTACCGCCTAGAGGAAAAGTTATTTTTTGCCTAGTCTTTTTATTCTTTCTGGCATGGATTTCTCTTTTGGTCTTAAAAGTAGCAAAACAACCTTTGTATTCAGACCTTGGTGGGTATGATTGCTAATATAATGAGTCTAGTTTATAGATACAGTTCCAGAGTATTATACAAAGCAGTCAGCTGGATACATGAGAGCTCCAAAAAGTATGACTCCTTTGTCAACCAGGCTAACCAAAAATAGGTTGTGTAGAAAAGAAAGCTCTGCTTAGAAAAGTCTATGTATTTTCATGGCAATATGATTTAATAACTTCCTAACACGTCATCTATATTTCAAATAATTCTCTATGTTAATTAGTTGACAGTGACAGTATCCGTATTGTGGGTGTGAATCATGGCCAATAGAGCAGTGTCATGGGTTTTATTTTCCTCCAACATCTTATTATGAAAAATTCAAACATACAGAAAAATGGAAAGAGTAGTATAATGAACTCTTATTTACCCTATGCCTAGATGCAGTAGTTTTAAGATTTTGCTATATTTGTTTATTTACATATGAATACATGTGGTATGTGTGTGTCTGATTTTGAACTATTTGAAAGTAAGTGAAAGATATGAAACTTTGTCCTTAAATCCTTCAGGAGACATCTCCTGGGGGGTATAGCTCAGGGGGAGGAGCATTTGCAGAATACATCTAAGAGTAAGGACATTCTTTGACATACATTTAAAAATTATTTTATGATTTTTTTTTTTACTGATAAATGTGGTTAAATTCTTATCGTCACTTCCCCTCTATTTCTGATCTTGCTCATCCAGTCTGTTCCTAAATTTTTTTTCCCAGAAGAAAAGAAAAAGATGATGAGTTCTCTAACATGCAAAATTGTGCTTGTTTCTTATTGTGGGTAAGATTCTAGAATAGATTATTAGGGGATCTGTGAGCGCCAAGATGAGGAAGAGGTGATCACCAGCAAAACTGGGAACAAGTCTTTCTTCCCCCCTCACTTTATTTCCTAGTAGATCCTTGTATCAGGGAAATGCGATAAATGTTTGGTCTCCACTGAAGCAGTTGACTTGTATATTACTTGTAGATAGTGTGGAGATCCATGTAACTCAGGGAGGTTTGTGATGTCTCTGATTTCAGCACTGCACTGCTTAGAATTTTAACGAATGCATTAGTTAACGCTTTAGGGAACATACGTGATCTTGAAATGGGTAAATATCCCTAAAGAGAGAGGGAGGGAGAATATGTTGGATGGCAGACTCACTAAGAATCAGTATCTAGTAAATAGATAGTATGTGTTTATTTAAAATAAATACTTATAAAATGGAGCAAAGAATAACTTCTGTGCTATACACTTTTCTAGGGATATTTTGTCAATAAGTATCATAATGCATACATATTCAGTTCTTGGGTAATAATAAAAAGCTACTGGCATCTTTATCAGTGGAAGTCTTTAGCTTCTAAATTTAACTTTTCCATATTTTTCTTATAACTTCGGAGAGTTATACTACATGGTACTCTGAGCACACCTCTTTTTAGCTTAAATTTTTTTCTGTTGTTATACAAGTATCTGCTCATGGACAAAAAGATTAATATTTTAGTGTATCATATCAAATCTCTTTATGTCCTTGTATACTCATTTTTTCCAATAAACATGAGATAATACCATGTATATTATTTTTTAATGTTTTCTGTTTATACATTCTGAATACTTTTCTATTAATATAACTTATTCATTATATTTATTTTCTTGTCTTATTGAAACTGAATTTGTTTGTGATCCAGCTGAATACTTTATGTGAATTGAAATGTGATTTATGATGGTCTAGAAATCTAAAAATACAAATACTCTATATAGTTAAAAGTTTTAAAATTGTGGTATAATATATATAACATAAAATGTCATTTTAACCATTTTTACTGTACAGTTCAGTAGCATTAATGACATTCATAATTGTGTGCAACCATCACTGCTGTGTATTTCCTTTATGTTTAATCATTCCAAACAAACTCTGTATCCATTAACCAATAATTCTCCACTTCCTTCTCCCCTCAGCCTCTGATAACCTCTAATTTACTTTCTGTCTTTATGAATTTGCCTATTCTAGATATTTCATATAAGTGAAATCATATAATATTTGTACTTTTGTGCCTGGTTAATTTTACTTAGCATAATGTTTTCAAGGTTCATCCATGTTGTAGCATGTATCAGAACTTTGCTCCTTTTTATGGCTGAATAATATTCTACTTTACTGGATGGATTTATTTGTCTGTTGATGGATACTTGGGTTGTTTCCATCTTTTGGCTGTTGTGAATAATGCTGCTATGAACATTTGGATACAAGTACCTGTTCAAGTCCCTGCTTTCAATTATTTTGGGTATATACCTAGGATTGGCATCTCTGAGTCATATCTTAACTGTGTTTAACTTTTTGAGGAACCCACACAGAGTTTTAACATTAAAAATAATTTATCAAATGTCATTTGCATAAGGTACTATACTGTGCACCATGCAGAATACACATCAGAGAGATGACTGGTGTAAGAATCTAGGTGTGTTTGATGCAGCTTGTTTTCTTTAGTGCCTGCAGGAGCGCTGTGTAAGTAGCAGACAGAAGCTCAGAAAAATATGTGGAATAAATGACAATGTAACTGTAGCTTTGTGTTTTATTTATACTAACACCCATTCTCCCTCCACATTTTCCAAGCAAGGCTTGGTAGAACCATTAACAAAAAATAAACACATCTCTACTTGGGCTGTCCCTGGGGCATACTGCATAGAGTTGCCCATGTGAGAAGCAGCTTGAATGTTAATTGGCAGCTGGAATTTGGAAAGGATGCCTGTATGGCTTAAGATTTGGGGTGCATACTTGAAAACCTTTCTCTCTCTCTGTCCTGTATCTTAATGTATGTATCATTCCTCTTCTGACAGGTGGTCACCTGGGCCCCTGGTACCTGTTTCAGGAGCTCTGGAGGATAACAGCTTATTTCCCTGAGATGCCTCCTAAGATCTCCTCCCCCTAAATTTTGTTAAGTCAAACACACTCCAAATTTGGTGACACAATAACAAACAGGCATTCAATTTATTGACATTTCCTTCTGAAGTTTATGTAAATTCAGTTATTTTCCATATAGAGCAGAGGTTGGCAGACTGTGTGGGCCAAATCAAGTTTGTTTTTGCACAGCCCATGGTGAATTTTACAGTTTTAAAGATTGTTAAAGAAAAATAAAGAACATGTGACAGGGAATGTATGTGGCCTAAAAAGGCTAAAATATTTACTTTTTGACATTTTATGAAAAAAGTTTGCCCACCCCTGGTCCAGAGTCTTATTCTATTGCATTAGTTTGATGTGTGAGAGTATATCTATGTCAACATGGCAATTAAAAAATTATTGAATTGGGCTTCCCTGGTGGCGCAAGTGGTTGAGAGTCCGCCTGCTGATGCAGGGGACACGGGTTTGTGCCCCGGTCCCGGAAGATTCCACATGCCGCGGAGCGGCTAGGCCCGTGAGCCATGGCTGCTGAGCCTGTGCGTCTGGAGCCTGTGCTCCACAACGGGAGAATCCACAACAGTGAGAGGCCCACGTACCGCAAAAAAAAAAAAAAAAAAAAGATATGTAGTCACAATTGAAATTTTGAAAAGAATTTTAAGATTAAGGTTTACGATGGCTTGTTGCAGTGATCTGGGAATCAGAGTTGGGGTTTTGTTTCTGACAGTTACTGATTTACTGGGTTATAGTTTAGCAGTTTTTTTTTTTTTTTAAATGGTTCATTAAATACATTTAAAACTCTTTGGAAAGAAAGCATCTGGAAAGTGTGAAAGCAATTCAGAATCATGTTTACATGTATTAAGTGCCTATATGTACATGTTGTAATGAGGAATATTACATAATAAGGATGGAGTAGTAAAGACATTGTATTTAGTTTTATTTTAAAGGGGTTAAAAGATATTTTTCGTATATTTTATGTTCTTATATTCTAATTTTTTTACCTAAACTTCTGAGAATATATTTAGATAGACCACGTAGCCTAGATAATTTCTTACATTTAATGTAAGCAGAATCCACTTAATACCATGGTAATAACTGAAAATTTTAATACCCATTGTTTTACTGGCAGTAATACCTCAGGTAGTTGACCAGAGCCTTCGTGTTTATCTAAGAATACTTTGTAATTCTACTTTTCCTGTGATTTTTCTGGGCTTTTACAAAGCGAGGATCAATTGTGTCTACTGAAATTAGAATTCTGTCATGTGGGGATTTGTTGAAAGCTGGGAAGTCCCTTAAGAAGTCTGACTCATCTTCACCTCTTCTTTCAGCTGGCAGCTGTTTGTGATGTATTTGTGGAAAACTATGTCCCTGGCAAATTGTCTGCAATGGGGCTGGGCTATGAAGATATAGACGTGGTAGCGCCTCACATGGTCTACTGTTCCATCACAGGTATCTCAGCACCACACCCTCGTCAGTGGCGAGGTTTTCCAGTTTCTGTGTCTCTTTCTGTATATAAGAAACCTCACGCTTGAGGTGCTTCTGCTCTCCCTCCCTGCCGAGCCATTTTAGGTTGTTGAAAATTAATCACTAAAGAACATTAACCTAAATGAACATTTTTCATATTTCTTCTGTGAATTGTCTGCCTGTAGTTTTGCCAGTTTTTCTACTGATATTTCTCAAATACTGACAAGGTACTATTATTAACTTATATGTAGAATTACAGGTGAGATATTAATTGGCTTTAAGATAACATAGGATCTCAACATACTGCTTCAATATATTCAAAAGTGCTAAAGCCAACTGAAGGAAAAGAGTGCTATGAAGTCTTTTAGATTGTTCAGCCCTTGATGGTGAACTCTGTGTGTGTGTTTGTGTGTGTATAAGTATGTCTTTAGGCTAAAGGGAAAAAAGTGATTGTATTAGTTATCTTTACATAGTTTATAAGCACTTAGCTATTAATTAGGAATACAGTATTAAAAAGTTATTCTTAAAATAGAAAGTTACATTAATAGCTTTTGTCAGAATAATTTATAAGATTTTCAGATTTTATTAATTCATCCACCAAATATTTACTGCAGACCTGTGATCTGCCAGGCAGTATTCTAAGCTTCTGAGATACAGCAATGAATAACACATATATATGCTCTTCAGCAGATTTACATTCTAGGTTAGGGAGATAGATAGTAAATAAGTAAACACATTCTTTTGTGTTTTGTATTTGAGTATAGTAGTGATAAGGTCAAAAGAGAACAACTAAACAGGGCAAGGGGGATGAGGTTAGGAGGGTCCATTTTATACTGGGAGGTGAGACAAGTCTTCATTGATAAAGGGGACATTTAAGCCGAGACCTGAATGAAGTAAAGGAGTGAATCGTATCATTATTGGCAATGAGGGTTTCGGGCAAGGGCAACAGCAAGTGCAAAGGACCTAGGGCAAGACTGTGTTGGGCCTGTTTGAGGACCAGCAAGGATGACTGAAACAGAGTGAGTTAGGGGGAATGTAGTAGGAAGAAAATCAGGGAGATAATGGTTAGTAAGATGATGGTTAGTAAAGGCTTGTGGGCTGCTCTTAAGGAATTAGGCTTTTACTTCGAGTAAGATTATAAGCTAATGGAGAGTTTTAAGCAGAGGAATGATGCGACCTGACATTTTTAAAAGGATCACTCTAGCTACTGTGTTAAGAATAGACTGTCGAGGACAAGGGTAGTGGGAGAACAATTACGAAGCTATTGACATAGTCCAGGCTACAGATGATGGGGGCTTGAATTAGAGTAGCAGTGGTCGAGGTCGTTAAAGAGTGATAGAATTCTGAATGTTTCCGAGAAAAGGGGGTAAGGTTTGCAGATGGATGAGATGTGAGTATCAGAGAAAGACTAGAGTTAAGGATGACTCTAGGGTTTTGGCCTGAGCGATTAGAAGAATTGTTGTTTACAGAGTCGAGTAGCACTGTGGAAAGAAGCTTTGGGAGGGAGAACATCACGTTTGGACTTGGAATGTCAAGTCCAAGTCTAGCTTGAAATGTAGAGTAAGGGCTTGGATCTAAGAGTCAGGAGATGTAAAATTTTATAGTTATGAGCAAATACATGGTATTTGAAGGCTGTATTTGATCTTTTACAGAGTGAGTTTAGATAGAAAAAGGAGAGTCTGAGTGGCTGAGCCTGATGCACTCCCATGAGTAGATGTTTAGGAGACAATGATGACACAGTGAAGGAAGTCGTGAAGGAATCGTCAGTGAGGTGGGAGGAGAACCCGGAGGCGAAGTGAGGAAAGGGTTTATTTTCATAGACAGTTGAAGCAGAAAAGCATAAAGCATAAAGCACGTATGGACCTGAATTACTCGCATCTCCTAAATGCACCACACTCGCTCTCACGGCAGAGCCTTTACACACGATGTTCCCATTGCTTGGAACACTAATCCCCTGCCATACCCGGTAACTCTGTCTTTGTCCTTTAGATCTCACCTTGGATGTCATTGCTTCTGCGCAGACTTTTTCTCTCGATCCCTGAAGACTGGGTTGGCTGTTGTCTATCATATTTTACTCTTTACTTGTCTGTCTCCCCCACTATCTTTCAGGCTCTTGTTCAGCACACAGTATAGAACACATGGTAGGGAGTTTCTTACCTCAATGAATGAATAATCAGAACTTGGCTAAAGAATTTTTAATAGCTGCCTTTTTTTTTTTTTTTTTTTTTTGCATTCTACTTTTCAGAGATAAGTGTAAGTGGTAAACGTTATGTTTACATTTTCCAAAGAAACTTTCAGAGGATAGCCTGGGGTTAGGGCATAGTTGGCCTAATCTGTTATTTCTTATGTAGTTCGTCCATAGCACTAATGTAATGATCATTGCTTTAAGGTACCAAAGGAGTCCGTACCATGAAGTAAATATTCACTTATTGTTACTAGGTCCCTATGCATTAGGTTTTTTCCTAAGGCAGTAAGGGAACTAGTACATTTAAAAAATATTTTAAAAGGGAACCAAACAAAAACTTTACTCCTTATATTTCAGTAAATTTATCTTAAAATAGGTATCTGAAAATCTTGTTTTACTATAAAAGCCACAAAAATGTTATCTTAAAAATCTTTGTTATTTGTAAAATTATAAGAACCAAAATACTCCTATTTCTTTGCATTCAGGTTAATTGAGATATTATAATACTTTGACTGTGACACATTTCTTTAGTATAAGTAGTGCTTTTCGTGGTGTAATTGTCTTTGTGGTGGTATTTTCATATAAAATAAGCTATAATTGCAATATTTGGACAATTGTTATTATTTTAGATTTAGATCAAAGAGCCCAGTGATCATTAACTTCTCTACTGAACAGCACAAGAGATAGGTTCTGGACATAGTAGATCTTTGCCACTAGATCTGACTCTTTTTCAGATGTACTATTATATAGATCTGTAATCACACTTTTGTTTTTGTGTCTGTGTATCAAATACTTATATGTGTGTGAGAGAGGGAGAGATTTTTCCTTAGAATCTCACAATCTAATGGAAATGCTGAGGTTTAAAATATTAAAATAGGTGAACTATTATCTTCTGAATTACCCTATAACCATAAGAATTCTGCATAACTAACAAATGCAAAATCTTACATGACAGTAAGTATTTATTTCTCATTGTCATAAATGTGGGTTGGCTGGGATGCAGCTGATCTAGACTCGTTAGGTTTGGCTACAAGTTGCAGGTCTGTTCTGCACGTGTCTTACACTCCTTGGACCAGTGGCTACCAAGTACGTGTTCTCCTCGTAGTGAAAGGCAAGAGCACAAGAGAACAAACTTAATCTCACAAGCACGTTTAAAGCCTCTCTCTGCTCACATCACATCTGCTAGTATTCATTTGGTCAAGGCAAGTCATATGGCCAAGCCTAATACCAAGAGGTGATTAAATATAATACTCTAGTGGCAGGAACTACAAAGTCTCATTGAAAAGGGCATGGGATCCGGGAAGGGTGAAGATTGGGAATAATAATGTATTTCATCACATCACCCAGCTAAATGAAATGTTAATCCACTTGGGAAGCCTCACACTTCCTCAAAGTTTCCCATCTGTATCTAACTACAGTTAGAATCAAAAGTTCTTCTGGGCCTTGTCTTGTGACTGGAGAATCTCTTTTAAGTTTTCTTCCAGTTCTCAGATCCTGTATTAACATTTTAGTGTGGCAAAGGCCCTTAGAGATAGATTATAGTTCTCAGTAGTTCTCAGCTAAGGGGAAAATGGGAGTATCATATGCTTTTTGGTAATAGCGATGGGGCATGAAGGGGTGATGGGGAGAGGCGTATGTAGTCTGAAAAACCAGCCCTCTTTATTCTGTAATCCTATGTATCTCCACCTCCTGACAATCGTTAGAAAAACGTTCACACAGCTCTCTCTTCTTTATGACTGATAAGGAGACAGACCCAGAACAGCTGAGGGACCTAAGGTCACACAGCTATTTAACGGCAAATGGGTTTAAAAACTCAGGCTTCTTGACTTGGTATTAAGCGCTTCTACACTTTCTCTGTTTAGACATGTATCATTGTTAAGTGATGACATGGACTTTGTGATTACAAGACACTGAACAGGTCTCCTTGAGAATATATATTTTTGTTATTCTCTTTCATTTGTTGTGGATCACATTGGCAGCGGTGGGAGTCATGAACAGAGTTGCTCATCAGGGAGTCTAACTTTCAACAGATTCTTTTGGAAGCAGCCGTCATTTGTGAGTCATGAGTCTGTGTGTATCTAACGCAAGGGCCACCTCTCCTTTTTTAGAAGTTTGATATTCTTGGTAATCAATGTTTGTTTTTTTTAAATAAGACTGATTAGATCAGTCTAAAGTTGCACATGTTATTATTGGGGTCCTAGACTTTCCTGATGTTTCCCTGTGGTATTGATGTCTTGTCAGTGCTTTCCAAGCCCAAATAGTCTGTTCTCACTCACATGTTGCCCTTACTGCTGATGAGAGTAACCTTGGAGTGGTTGGGAGTTTAATGCATTCTGACCGTTGTGTGGCTGAGACTGCCTCAGTCTGTGAAATCTGGTCTACAGGACAAAACTGCTACACTGATCACAAGGGAGGAAGGACCCGATTATTTTCATTAGCACCGTCCTCTTGTCATTTCAGAAGAAGCTGAGTGTGAACATTAGGGGGCAGTGTTTAAAAAGCTGTCAATAGAATTCACTACAAATTCCTTTTTGAGAAAACTGTAGTGTTTCCTGTGTACCACTGGGTGGAGAGAATCTCTGAAGGGACATATCTATATTTTTTCAAAGTATATTTTTTTCAAAGTGACCATTCTCTACCTTTTTCTACTTTTAGAAGTACAAGATATTTTCCTTAGCAATTTAATTTAAACTTTTATCTTCTTTCCTTCATGTCTTCTGTGCATGTTATTAATTATATACACTTAGCAATAAGAATGCTACCACATTTTAAAGAATTTACTTTTTTTCTTCATGTTAAC